CATCAACATGTGTCCCCTCTTCTTCATGTCTCTTCTACATCAACATGTGTCCCCTCTTCTTCATGTCTCTTCTACATCAACATGTGTCCCCTCTTCTCCATGTCTCTTCTACATCAACATGTGTCCCCTCTTCTTCATGTCTCTTCTACATCAACATGTGTCCCCTCTTCTTCATGTCTCTTCTACATCAACATGTGTCCCCTCTGTGGAAAGAGACTCTGAAAGTTTCAGGAACAAAGATTCTCTCTCTTTTTGATCCATTTCTATAAAAACCTGTCTGAAAATGAACTGATCAGATTTTGGCCACTTGATGATGTCATAACGATGTTTTGTCTTGTGTAACCATTAGCCAATCAGCAACAAGGTAACCCCCCCCCCCCTTATCACCTGAATCTCCTTCTAGAGCTCCATTGAGTTCTTTGTAACCAAATGTCTCTCAGAGGGGCGTGGGGAGGGGCTCCTTACTTTCATCTAAAGTAACAGACAGAGAATCAGCACTTTGGAAACAGGGCTGAAACAGAGGGGATTATGGGTAATGCTGCAATGATCCGTTTGGTGTTTCAGCCAATCAGAGTCAGGCTCCGGATATATCTGAGAGCTGTGATATATTGATGAAGAGGAGGATGATAGGGGACCTTTAAGTGTTTACCCCCGCTCTTTCTCCCGGTCTCCCTCTCTCCAGGTTCAGGCGTGCGGGGGGTCAGGTGGAGCAGCGCCGGGTCGATAACCTCCAGGATCTCAGCGGTAGTTTCGACATCATCGTAAACTGCTCTGGTCTGGGATCGCGCTCGCTGGCCGGAGACGTCTCCGTGCAGCCGGTTCGAGGCCAGGTCCTGAAGATGGAGGCCCCCTGGCTGCAGCACTTCATCCGGGACGGGGACGGCCTCACGTACATCTTCCCAGGGATCCAGGGGGTCACTATCGGAGGAACTCGGCAGGGGGGAGACTGGAACCTGCAGGTGGATGACAACGACACTCTGGGCATTTTGAAGCGCTGCAGCTCCCTGGAGCCCTCGCTGACACGAGCCCGAATCCTGAGCTCCTGGGTGGGGCTGCGTCCCGACAGGAGGACCCCCCGCGTGGAGGTGGAGAGAGAGGTGGAGGTGAAGAAGGGGGGAAGGAGTGTTACTGTGGTGCATAATTACGGGCACGGGGGGGTCGGGGTCACCCTCGCCTGGGGGACGGCGATGGAGGCGCTGGGGCTCGTGAAGAAGAGCCTCCAGGGAAATAAAGCCAAGCTGTGAGGGGCTAGAGAGAAACTTAATCCTGATTTATAGCCAATAATGTCCCTCGAATAAACTTAGAGGGCCACGAAATCTGCTGATGACTAAATCCTGCCTCTCGCTCTAAAATAAACTAGTTAGTGTGAAACTAAATCTGATCAAATCAAAATCAAATCAAAACTGAAATCTTATTTTCTTTTTTGAAATGTCCCTCATTAAAGCTTTGAAGAAGCCGGCACTTAGTTAAAGCCAGGGTGAAAACTTCCCTGAGCAAAACATTGGAAAAAACTCACATTTCTTAAAGCTCCCTGGAGCCCTCGCTGAAACGAGCCCGAATCCTGAGCTCCTGGGTGGGGCTGCGTCCCGACAGGAGGACCCCCCGCGTGGAGGTGGAGGTGAAGGAGTGTTATTGTGATAACTAAAAGCTTTAAAAGACCCTTAGACCAAGCTTTGGAAGGAGGGTCCCCGGGTGGAGGTGGAGGTGAAGGGGTGTTATTGTGATAACTAAAAGCTTTAAAAGACCCTTAGATCAAGCTTTGGAAGGAGGGTCCCCGGGTGGAGGCGGAGGTGAAGGAGTCTTACTGTGATAACTAAAAGCTTTAAAAGCCCTTAGATCAAGCTTTGGAAGGAGGGTCCCCGGGTGGAGGTGATGCTGCTGCTTTTACTCACTCTAAAATAAACCTGCTGATAACTAACTTTTAACTAAAGTTAGTTTCTTGCTTAATTAATTGAATCCAGATTTGCCTGGCAACAACACTTAAATAAACTTTGGAGGGGGGGCTACTGCTGATGACTCACTTGTAACGATAAAGAGAAACTTAATCCCGATTGCCTTCAAATAAACTTAGAGGGAAACTAAATAAAATAAATCAGCTGATCACTAAAACCTGCTTCTCCAGCCGGTAACTCTCGCTCTTCAATAAACTTAGTCTGCAAGGACTTGCCTTTAAATGAAGTTAGGGTGAAACTCCATCTGAGGTTCACTAACAGTAACACTCGCCTTTAAACTGTTGGATTGAAATCACTGATAGACAACAAATCAAAACTGAACTCTTTAAAACATTTAAAAAATGAACCTGATTTAAAGTTGAGGAAGAGTCGACCCTTAGTTAAGGCTTGGAGAAAAAACTCACATTCCTCAAAGCCTAGGAAAAATGTGTTTAGAACGAAAAAAATGTCTCGTACTGTATTTAAGCTTTTTTTTTAAATGACCCTCATTTGAAGCTTTGAAGAAGCCGGCACTTAGTTAAGGCTTGGGAAAGAACTCCCCTTATCTAAAATTAGGAAAAACCAGCTCTTAGTTGAAGCTCGGAATAAAACAACCTAAATATAAGCTTTAAGAAACTGCCTAAGGCTAAATGTTGGAAAGAGCCGGCCCTTAGTTAAAGCAACTTAACTTAAGCTTTGAACAAAAGGATCAACATTTAAAATACCTTTTAGTTTAAACTTGAAAAACCTGCCCTTAGTTTAAGCTTGAAAAACCTGCCCTTAGTTTAAACTTGAAAAACCTGCCCTTAGTTTAAGCTTGAAAAACCTGCCCTTAGTTTAAGCTTGAAAAACCTGCCCTTAGTTTAAACTTGAAAAACCTGCCCTTAGTTTAAACTTGAAAAACCTGCCCTTAGTTTAAACTTGAAAAACCTGCCCTTAGTTTAAGCTTGAAAAACCTGCCCTTAGT